AAAAAATCATATAATTCGTTCAAAACATCCCGATTTTGTTCAACAAATTCACTTTATGCTTTTTGAAACATCCCTCCTGCAAAATAATGGAGTGTTCAGCTGGCGAGTAAGATGAAAACAACCCTTTTATGGAGATTGACGCGCGCGTATCATGTTCTACGCGATGTCGCGCAGAACGCACCTGGCGCGTTGCGTTTTGTATTTAGAACTATAAAATTCTAACTACCTGGTAGTGTTGCGCATGCCTACGTGAGGATTGTGAACGTTCAACCAATGAAACGATAAGAGGCACTGGATTTTTAGGAGTCCACATTTTATTGTGACACTGGAAAAGTGTTTAAGACCAGCTAGCCATGTCTTTATCATCCGTTTAATACCGGCCACGTGACGGGCTCTCGACCAATAGGAATGGCTAAACTGTCTGAGGTATTTATGAATACGGGGTATATTATGGTTGTAGATGCTATTTGGGAGGATTAAGGGATTAATTAGGAGTTGGAAAGTTGGATGGAGCATTGTGAGATGTATTAGCGAGGAATGTGACTAGGGTATGCAAATATAAATATAAATGGAAATATAATGTGATTTGGACATTATGCACGTATCTTATTCCGCGCGAAACGGTTTGCGCGTGCGCGTATTTTTTAAAAAATGGCGGGCGTACGCGCGCGTACGTGCTCCTAATTATCGGTTCATGAATATTCATTTATTTATCAGCGCGAAAACTCACCAATTAAACCACCCCATATCAGCGATGACATCGCCTCTGACGGTTTCTAAGCACCCCGGTTGGTAAGGAGGTTTCATCAAAATGATAAATACTTTTTAAATTATGAAAATATCATTTTGTAAACTAATTTTATCCAAGTTTGAATTTTGGGATGATTTTGCATCAAAATTTAACTTTTTTCTTGATATCTCGTCAAAAAAAGGCATATTTCTAAAAGTGGTTTTTTTACGGAATTTTAACTTCTGAAAAGTAGTGAACGAGGGTGTAATCTTCATTGTTTTCTAAGTGGGAACCGAGCTAATATTTTTTTTTTCGTGAATTTTCGTCCTTGAATATCACATTTTTGGCGACATTTCGGCTTCAAAACGCATGTGACACGCGTTGAGCATCAAGAAATGCACACTGGGAAGCTGCTAAACGAGTTCCAAAATGCCGAATCTTGCAGCAAAAACGAAGATTCTGTACTGCTTATGTCTCGTCGAAGTCAAGAAACCTCCGATCTCCATTCACACCACGTTATAAAGGACATGGTAGGCATTGCATGCCCGCACTCGTCATGCTCGTGGGAAGAAATCTGACACCATTCGGTGGCATCACGCGGTCGTCGACGGCCAGCCGTGCCGGGAGTTCGAGCTCGAAACCCCACCACACACATCGCTTGTGACAGGCACCGCTTTGGAGTCGAGTTTTGGGTGTAATATGCGGGTAAACAGGGATTTGGTTATGTGCAGTAAATATGAAAACTGGTTCAATTTCAAATTGATTATGACTTGGCTATTCCTTCTTCCAATGTATTTTTGTGTCATATATTTTTTTAGACATTTTAATGTTGCGTTTTGCATTTTTTTAATCTTGCTTTATTTCCTTTTCCATTTTTTTTGCAGCTGTAAAATGGAGACGTTTTGATTGTCGTTCCTTCTGATGACGATGCAGACCTTGGAATCTACATTACGAGTCATGATGAAGAACTCTGTGAAGAATAAAACTATGGCCAGACTTGAACTGAAATTTAAAAATCCTTTTATTTAATATGCTTTAAAGATTTTTAATTATTTTAATAATAGAGACTAGACATGCATTAAACAGAAATGTAACCATTAACAAATGTACTCAGAAGTAGTCAGAAGAAATCAAAAGTAAGTTTACCGACTTAGTCTCAGAATAGAATTACATGGCTTCTGCTGACAACCAAGTACATGTATCATCAAGCCAATGCAAAACTAGAGACTTTAATTGTTTATTTAGACAAAATATTTCCTGATCAAATTGATATTGCAGTATACATCATGTAGTGAACAAAAATTGCAGTATGGTTATAAGACAAAAATGCTTGGGTCTAGTAACATCGGCTGTTGAATTCGAAATTAGGATTGCAGCAAGGATTTAATTTTTCATTCTAGTGATTTTCGAATAAAAGTGTTTTTCTTTACAAATTATTTTGTCATGTTTGTTGAAAGAACAAAAATCAAAACACTAAAACTGGTCGGTGTTTAAAACTGAAATTGAAACTTGGGCTTTCAAAAAGAAAGGGATGGAAAGAGAAAACTCAATGAAATAATTATAATAATTTAAATGAGGAATAGGTCTACTAAAGACCATTGCTACTTTTCATAAAAAATGGATTATCTTGTAATTTAACAGTCTACCAGGTGCAACAATAAAAAAATTCACGGAACTGCTTAAACACTCGTGAATCTGCCTATGCTTTAGCACGCAGGTAAGTTCCCTATACAATTACACGCAAGCTTCTCATGAAAAGCGTGAAATACGCGAACGAGATCAACTTCTGGTTGAGTGCAAAAAATATTAGCTCAGTTCTCATAAAATGGAAAAATTACAATAATTAATGGACTACTAGGTCAGCCAAGGCAAATGTGCTGGAAAAAAACATTTTTGGAATGATAAAGCAGAACTTTGAGGTTCGTTTTAACGCGCGGAAAGTTCGTGCGCGTTTTTGCGTAGTGACTCACAAACGCGTGCGTACAGCGTTCTCCCGCGGGATTTCGGGTGGCCATTATCATAATTTATGCGCGCACGCTCAGACCAAGTTGACACTGGTGTCATATTTCACTGACGTACGTGTATGGTGGATGAGAATGTAATAAGGTAAGATTCAGGATTGAAATTCAGGATTAAAAATAAGATTAATATATTTTGGACAACCCACATTTTACCCAGATGGGCCCCACAGGTAACCCATATGGGTTATCTGGGCTGGCCCATATGGGTCCCATAAGGATCTTGGGTGCAAAATTATCTGGGGCCCATATGGGTCCGCCCATATGGGACCCATATCTTGGCCCAAATGGGGCCCATTAAAGCTTCCCCATATTTTACCCAGATGTTTGCCCAGATGGGCCCCAGACATAACCCATATGGATTTATCTGGGCTGGCCCATATGGGCCCCATAAGAACCTTGGGTGCAAAATTATCTGGGGCCCATATGGGTCCTCCCATATGGGACCCATATATTGGCCCCGATGGGGCCCATATGCCACCCATATGGGCTTGCTACCTGGGTCATAATACTTGGCTACGGCTAGCCGTCACACATGCGCCTATGGAAGCAGCTGAAGCCACTTCCCATACTACTTGGCTACGGCTAGCCGTCACACATGCGCTTATGGCAGAAGCTGAAGCCACTACCCATAATACTTGGCTACGGCTAGCCGTCACACATGCGCCGATGGTTCTTGCTGAAGCCACTACCCATAATACTTGGCTACGGCTAGCCGTCACACATGCGCCTATGGAAGAAGCTGAAGCCATATCCCAAAGATGTGTGTATGACTGTCCGCCATAGACAGGTAATTCTGACCGGACCTCTTTCACAAAATATTGAGAAGAAAGTGTCAGGCATTGTGGGTAGTCACGAGGTATGCCAAGCGCCCACACATGGGCGGATCCAGAACCACATTTCCGGGGGCAAGAGGACTAGTTCATTGCTATTTCCCCAAGAATATAAAAGTTATTAACTTTTGAACGAGACATTGAACAAAAAACAATCCACTGACGATTGGTTAACGAAGAACGAAGAGCACAATAGCTTTAAATGTACCGTTTGAATGTATTGTAAGCTCGCCAGTTTCCATAAGATGTACATTTGTATCACAAACGCCCCCCCCCCCCCATTGTAACCGTGCTCACAAACCAGTAGGTAAGAGTAAAAGAAATCCTGTTCGAGTTCACACTCACAGATACTAGTTGGTTACCATTGATCGTGAACTCAAGGAACAATGACACCTACCGAGTCAGTGAGCTTCATGAATTAAGGTACAACTGTATGGACTATTCATCAGATGATGAATTGAACGCGGAAACTATTTGTCATATTTTCCCTGATCGGCGAGCTAGGATGCTGCGACGGCAACATTTTCTTTCCACACAACGTGCGACACGCGACTGTTCTGTCTGATTGTACGAAGAAGCTCTGCACACCAATCTTAGCTTGCCTGACAATCTGCTTTCACTATGGATCGACGATCTTGCTTGCTGTACCTGTTCATGTTGTGTGTTTGGTGCTCTCTTGATACCAGTCCACTTATAGGAGTTAACGGACAAAGTGTGCTTTTATCTAAACATTCATCAGGTGATCCTACAGCGGGTAAATCGGTGCAACTGCAGTGTAATGCTAGTGGACTTCAGCCGGGAAATGTCATTGAATGGTCCAGGCTTGTTATGAATCAAGTTGTCAAGATAGCAAGGAATAGGATACGCCTCATCGCCATCTTAAGCAAATACTCAGTTACTCTAGACAGTCAGTCTGGGACAGAAATGTATGAAATCCTAACTATTTATAGCTCGGATAAATACGATACCGGTACTTACTACTGCCGTATATTGGAATCAGATAGTGACAGTGCCGCAACTCGAGCACAAGGCAGTTACTACCTGACAGTTTTCTACTTTCCCTCTGACATCTACCCAATCTGTTCCCCTAACGGAACATTCACTGCACAAGAAGGAACGACGATAAACATGACTTGTATCACCGAGGAAGGTCAACCAACTGCGCGAGTTGAGATTATAGCACCAGGTTCTCTATATTCTTGGAAAAATGTAACTTTGAATGGTGAAACAACTGCATCACTGCATCTACAAGTGGGCATAAATAACAGTGGACACAGCTTTGAATGTAGGATTAGTTCATCATCATTCCCTGGTATGGACAAATCATGTTTCATCGGACCAATCACGGTAGGGTCTCTGACATCAACACCAACTATGCCAAAGCAAACAACAAGCAACTTGTACACTGAAATGATAACAATGACAAACGATCTGAATAAAACAAATCTCCAAACCACCACCCCAATCAGAGGAACTACTCCTGCTGCTACCGTCCTCCCAACTGTCAACACCAGCACCACCCCGCTCGACAACATGAGTACCACTGGGATGATACCTAGTGAGACTACCGAAGGTGCTATCGTCCTCCCAATTGCCATCATTGCAGGGGCGGCTGGTGGAGGTGCAGCCTTAGTTCTCTTGCTATTGATACTCTGCATTTGTCTTTGTGGATGCAAGTGCCGTAAAAAGAGAGACCAGAAACCGGGTCTACAAGAGATGTCAGCGCTTTCCGAACTCATCCACGAGCCCAGCATTGAACCTCATGACTTCCATCAAAACATTTACTCTGAGTCCACCAGCTCATTTAAGAACGGTCAACACGAAATGATAGAAATCGATCACAACCAATCGGCATATGGCCTAGGAACGGAACTGTTGGCCACACCTAATTTACATACTGACACCAACCGAACGGTTCTCATTAATGCCCCTCTACAAAAGAAAAATTCGATTCATGCACTGGAACAGGCATACAACGAGATATCTGAATTCAAAGAAATGCCAAGCTTTGAAGCAAAATCTACAGTCCTTGAAACCGAGGATGGACAACGACATGTGGCAGACTCGCCTTCTGAAGAGTCTGATCATAAAAGCAGCTCACCTATATATGCCGAAGTTCAGAAAAACAGAGCTTCAAAAGCAGACAACCCACCTGTCTATGCCGAAGTCCAGAAAAACAGAGCGTCCCTTGTTGATGAAAAGGAAGAGCATGAGAATGTTGGCATTGATTCCTCAACGAGTAACTTCCCTAATCACGGCCACCCTGTTTATGCCGAAGTGCAGAAAAACAGAGCTTCAAAGAGAGACAAAATGGAGGAACAATCAATAGCTGGAGCTGATAACCAACCGGCTAAGCCGCCGGATCAATAATTGACTGACCAATATTACATCAATCTTGCCTTCGTTTCGACTGATGAACAACACGAGTCCTTCAACTTCACATTTAAACCAACAGCGTGAAACCACTGAATGGTCAACGACGGTCCGTAGCGTCTTAATCCCAGAAGAACCCTAAACATTTGAGCAACTTGAAATCACCTGTGGTGGGAAGCAAGTGGAATATCAAAAATTTCACACCAAAGAGCGGTCAACTGGCCAACCCCGACAATGTTTCACCGCCTCCTCCACCACCATCATCTCAACCATCTCCACTGCCTGCATCATCACCTGAACCGCCACCTCATCAGCAGCCTCCATCTCAAGCTAAGGAGCAGATGAGTACTCCAGCCTCCTCATCAGAGTTACCGCCGCGCCCACCATCATTTATCCAGAGACCAACACCTCAGGATGAGCCACAGGTGAACATCCAGAAAGACGACCATCACGAGGCATCAGCAAATCATCAAGATCCCGATGAGAACCCTGCCTCCAAGGAACACGAAGTCATGTATGCTGAGCTTGATTTAGAACCAGACACATCGGGTAAGTTGCCTACACCCACTGAGGAACCGACAATGTATGCCACCATCAAAGATATGCCCAAGTAGTTCATGATTGGCTTTGAGATTTACCGTTTGCAGAAAATTATATTCCTTTCGTTGAATGATTTTTCAAGAGGCACTGTCTTGCGAAGACCTGTCTTGTCGGAAACGAAGAGGTCTTTTGAAAAAATGCCCGTCTAATTAAGTTCATCAAAATCAACTGCAAACAACATTTTAAAAAAATTAATGAATATAAAGGCTCTCATTTAGTTACATGCGAAGTAAGTGAAATTTCTGTTGAATAATCCTCATTGTAATTTGGAGTAAACATTGAGCGTACATCTTTTTCTGGTTTTGCTTCCATAGATACATTTTCGTTTAATCCTACTGGAATATACTTAAATTTTTTGAATGTTTCTTTTTTGTTTAACTGTATAGCTCTTTGGAAAATGAATTTGTAATTTCATCCGTGTACTTTAATCTCGCACACTGTTCCTTATATTTGGCTACTGGGTATAAAAAGTGTGTGAATATTCAAGTTGATAATTCTTGTTTTACACAATGTTATGATGACAACGTTTTTCAGTTATCTTCAATTGTATATATTTGAAACTCTTTCATCGCAAAAGGAGTTGACTACAATCTATATTATGGTAAATTAATATGATTGTATTATTTTACACAGAAAATTATGTATGGTCGAGTAATTTGATATATAGTATCATTTAGAGTAAAATTATCAGTACAATGCGGAAACACCTGGTGACACATTTTTCCTATGTGGGCTGTACCTTATGGAAATACTTCGTTACCGTCACATTTTTTTTATAAAACAAACTTAGTGCAAGTGTGAGGTGGATTTAAAAAAAAGGTCCACAACTGCGGGTAATTCAATCTTTTTCCCAGTACGAATGACTTACGAAAATCAAATAGTTTATTTTGCCACTTTTGTTTGACAGGTAGGCATACACCTTTTTTCTGATTTACTTTTAAATGGGAGGCAGTGAGTAATTTTACAATTCTTAAATGCTACTCCCTGTAAAAAGAACAAGAGACAACATGAGCTGTGAACACAGAACATACAACTTTAATCCCAAGATTGGCGGCTAGATGAGGCACGATGTTATCTTCAGTTCTGTTTCAAAGTTGCTAATTGTTCCTGTTTCAAACTTTTTTGTGCAGCATCACAGATATTAAGGGAAAACCATGCTGAAACTGGCAAAAAAATTACATGGAATGGCTAGACTCCTACACCATTATTCTCTTTTGGGGGGTTTATCTCCGTGTGCATATTGGGTTTATTTAACACCAAATAATATCAGAGAAAAGAAAAACGTGAAATCCTACACAAAAGAAATCAGGGCAATTTCTGATTGTGTTATTTCCTTGCGGGGGAGAATTTGTACTGCTTATGCCTATTTTTAGGTATTTGACCCCTACGATTTTAGTCAAAGCCATATAGCATGATCTATTCACACTGGCAACCACCACTCCAGGCGTGACTTTTGTTCCCAATTCAACCAGAAAGCGGGTGGTATGCTGAGGGAATTCCCATAAAAATCCAACGACAGAGACCACTCAAGCACCTTTGAATTATGAAAGTAAAGAAGTACAGCCTCTGTATAAGCTTGCACTCAATACACAGGATCCTGTATGCAGCAGGCCTCACCTAGCGAATGAATTTTTTTTTTTGGCAGGGGTGGGGTCGGTGCAGCGTGATGGGCCATATCTGGAAAATTGGCCTTGTTTATTTTCGTTATAAAATTGCTAAAAAGCAGCGGCTGAGGTTACCACTCCACAGTTTTAAGGTGTTAGTGCTATCATTTAGAAAATGAACTTCAGATGAAAAAAAAATAAATAAATAAAAAGGCCAAAGCCCCCCGGTGCCCCGGAACACTTAATTTGACACGAATTAATATCTGATTGGAAAAAAGTGTCTTGTTGAAGCTTATGCTAGGTTCACACTTTCCCGATTTTTAAGCCGAACCGCTGCGAATAGCAATTCTTGAGTAAATCGGGGAATGGTTCTTGGCTGCCTCAGGATGATTCTGTTAGTTCGGTGAAAGATCGTTAGAAATTGTCGGGGTCATTCGGGAACCAATTTCAATTCTTGGTTTATTCTTGTTGTATTCATAAATACTTCTGGATATTCTTACATGCATTGTGGATATTCTTACAAGTTTCGTAGAGTTATTTTTGGAGTTAAACAGTCCAGAATCATGCAGAATCATTACGAATGTATCACGAAATGTACGAATATGATGAGAATAACTTTCGAATACACTAAATCGGCATAATTCTGGGTCATTATGCAGTGATTCTTGAGTTATTCGTAAGTTATTATTGACAAAATCGCTGCAATTGGGTTTTATTCTGCACTAAATCGCAATCATTCGGCTTGGTTTGGTCTGATTCGGCTTCCAATTCGTACCTACTAGTTCTTGATTATTTCTGTTTTATTCTTAAGTTATTTTCACAAAAAACGAATCGGGGCTAATTTCTCCCGATGCAATCAAGAATTTTTATTCGGGATAGATCGGGGTATTCGTGGCAATAAATCTGGAATGTGTGACCCTAGCATTAGCCAACATATTTGGATATTGGGATTAGTCTCGGCCCAAACTAGGTCAGTACATTGTCAGTCATCGGTGGCGTAAATCTGTGCCGAGGACTGGGAGGATGGGGGATGACTAAAATAATAAAAAATTGCCCGGCCGAGGGAAATCAAAAATTTCTAAAAAACAGGGGCTGGGAATACCAGTTGTAAGGTGTTAGTGCTATCATATAACAAATGAAGATCAGATAAAAGAAAGTAATAATAACGGACAAAGCCCCCCCCCCCCCCCGTGCCCCGGAACACCTAATTTGACATGGATTAATATGTGATTGGAAAAAAAGTGGACTTTGGGATTAGTCCTAAACAAGGTCAATGCATGGTCATTCATTAATGTTTTATAGTCAGTGGATATTAATCAGTGTCTTCCATGTTTAATAGTATTGCCCATTTGCATCGTAATTTTGAAGAAATGCTTTACATGTTTTCCTCGAAATTTGTGCAGACGAAACCGACAAACCTTTGAACCCCGCACGCTATTATGACTGGTTCCTGCTTCTCTTATCAACATGTAATATTAAAATAACTACTAAAACATGACATCATAGGTTAAAATGGTGTTGCAGATTAAACTGGTCTACACTTGACTTGCATTGTTCGTATAAACGTTTAACTTTGTTTGGATTTTGTGTATTGCTCTATCTATGTGAAAACAAAACTTAGAATGCTGAGCTATTAATTGCTTTATTACTTTACTGCAATGGGATTGAAAATGTATTGCTCATAATTATGTATACTATTACTGAATTTTTTTGCAAAAATGCTTAAAAGATGTCTACGTAATCTTAAGGGGGGGGGGTAACATATTGTTCCACGCTTAATTGTGCATTTGTATTATGTATCCAGTATAATATGTAATGTATATTTTGCTAAAGTTGTAACAAATTTGTTCTTGTTTTTCAACTGTTGCTGCTCAATTTACAATTTCAAGAAATTGTATATAAACATTTTACTCAGTCATTGTTTAAATGTGTGTTTTTTTTAATACTTATTGCAAACATTTTATTGATGAATTAAACATGTACACAAATTTGTAAGTTGCCAAATTATAATTTTATACAATATTTGGAAATATTTCAGTTGAATACTTTATGGCTTAATTTGTAATTTGTACTTTAAACAGAAAAAAAAACAAAGAAGGGAAAAAAATCAGTCTGCAGAAACATGTGTAAAAGATTGAAATGATAAATAGTCTCTGATATCAATGTAAATTTAGTCGCAAATTATGTCTTTTTGTGCCTTGTATAATATCGGGGTAGTTCTGTACATATATCTAGTCATCAGTAAGCGTATTAATCATGAAATGCATCAATATTGTTAATTGTACGAAACAGCCTATAATGTGATTTAAATAAGCATCGTATGTACTGTCCTATGTAAATATATCCTTCTGTTAAGCAAAATAAATAAAAAGAAAAGAAAAAAGCATCATACAGAACTGACAAGTACTATACAAGCAGTCAAAAAAATTAAACTGGAAATGGGATGATATGAGAATCAGCCTAAAACAACTTTCTGTGACTTATAGAAACTTGTCACATTTTCACAAATTCCTCAATGTGCTATGGCTAGGGCCTAAGCTTACAATTACAACCATTTTGCAATCAACCATACTACTGCCCTGTTGAAAACTGCTGATGATGGCGAAGCCCTAGCCATAGGCCTATCTGAAGTAATTGGCTGGGGCTTGCCATCACACATACGCCTACGTGCGTCATTTCCCATAGATAGGAAGTGTCAGGCATTTTGGGTAGTTACGAGGTATTGCCATGGATCCAGAGCCACATTCCCGGGGGCCATGAGTGCTCGAGTATTTCATTGCCATTTCCCCAAGAATATAAAAGTTATTCACTTTTGAACGAGACATTGAACAAAAAACAATCCACTGACGATTGGCTAACGAAGAACGAAGAGCACAAAAGCTTTAAATGCATAGTTTGAATGCGCTCTCTATAACCTCGTATCGATCAATTCGGGAAATCATTTGGGTCAATGATCCTGCATGAAAAGGCCATTGTCGCGTTTCAGTTTGTTATTTTTCAATGCTCATAATTTCTTTGGAGTTGGGCATGCGTCGTGCAGTGTGCACACGTAATCGTGCTCACAAATCAGTAGGTAAGCGGGAAGAGTAGAAGGAATACTGTTCGAGTTCAAACTCACGGAAACTATTAAGCTGGTTTACACTGATCGTGAATACGAGGAACGACACCAACCGAGTCAGTGAGCTTCATGAATTATGACACAACTGTAGGAATTATTCATCAGACGACGACTTGAACACGAAAGTCATTTGTTTTTTTCCCTGATCGACGAATTATGCTGTAACGGCAACATTTTCTCCAACTCCACATAACGTTCGACACACGACTGTTCTGTCTGATTGTACGAAGAAGCTCTGCACACCAATCTTAGCTTGCCTGACAATCTGCTTTCACTATGGATCGAGGATCTT